GAAATATGTCCTTCATGGCTACAATTCAAAGGTTCGAAATCCACAACAGTTCTTCTTCAAAGTAACAATATTTTATTCAATTTTCATTTGCATCGTCATAACATAAACTTTCACGACACCCTTCTAATTAGTTCGTAAAATACCTGCCAGATAATTAAAAGTACTGAATCAATTCTTAACATTAGAGAAGTATGTTCCGTGCATACAGATGTTTGAATTTTCTGTTTTAATAAAATAACTTAAAATTTTGTCTCACAGGATTAGAAATAAACAGCACGGGACTGTTATTTCGATATGGTGCACATTTTTTTCTCGAAAAAGTACGTGGTCAGTTAAACAGTTACACATGCATATCAATACTTGGCAAAATATATTTTCAATTTCAAATACAAAAAGTACGATCGAAATAATACGGAGTTGACGTATATTTAAAGAAAGAAGAAATGGAATAAAGCGTCTGAATGGCACAGTAAATTGAGTTGCTGCTATAATATCACAGCTGCTGTATCATAAATTAAACTTGCAGCTGGCAAAAAAAAATTCTATGAAACATCAAAGTTCTACGCTGTCTCCTAATCCTCTTTCACTTAAAACAACTAAACCTCTCCATTGTTTACTGGATTTTTCCTTCACTTAAAACAAGAACAGAGTTTGACTTCGCCGTTATTTATCAAACCATTTTTTACTTAAACAATTGACTGCGTATTTTGTATTGTATCTTTCCCCATCACATATTTCCGTAGAGTAAACTTCGGCTCGAAATTTGGCAAGCAGATTGTAATTTGAATTTTCATTTCTTAGGAGTAACAAGTATTGCATAATTTCAATTTTGGATTCCACTTTAGATCAATTATCATTGGAATCCTAAACCTAATTCGAAAACATCCGATAAATATATGTTTCAAGAAATTTTGGAAGAAGGATCTAGAGAGTTTTATGTCTTTCTTTTGCTTTCCGACTGTCAAGGACCCAAGAAAGAGTCTCACTGAAGCTGAGTCAAAGCTGCGTAATCATCTAACACGTGTGCTTAATTGCATTTATTCCGTTTTCCTATCTTGTTCAGTAATGATGAGCGACAATCATAGATAAAACAATGTTTGCCATGCTTCATCAATAGGATTTCGAACTTCAACTTGGCTAGAATTTTCTTTTGTGCGATGATCCACAAATAAATGATTCAATAACTGAACCCTGTTATGGTTTTTGATCAACTCCTTATCACTGCGACTGATCACGATTGCCTTCATCATAGCTTAGACTTTCACATAAGCATTAAAGTATCTCTTACTTTCTAAATCCGCTCCCAACTATTTTTATGGTCTCACACTTCCGCTTTTCCACCTGTTAGTATATCTAACCTGTGTAGAATGACTAGGAGAAGTTCTGTGGATTATGCTTAAGTCAAAAACAGTAGGATGCACAAATAGTATCGGTTAACATTAAGCTTGAAATCCTTGACATTAACTTTCTTTACCAAAAATATGTCGAGAGTATAACGGGGACTGCGTAAAAATCATTTTTGGATTATTTAGTTCCATTGTAAAAACTGAATTGGGAAAGAAAATGAACACACACATGCAAATAGTATACAACATGATATTTATTGAACAATACTGTGAAAAATATATTAACAAAATAGATCACTTTTGTATATTTGCAGAAACAGTGGGCCGCATCGTCCATTCAGAAAGATTGATTGATTTACAGATGAAAAAAGTTTTCAACAATGTTAGAAACCTAATAGTATCCGTTCCGTTTCTATCAAAATTTGCTAAATTCACTGTATTCTACATGAATAGCGCAGTCTTTCGAGCAAATCCATTTGTTTCATAGATTTCTTAAGTAATTTAAAAACTGGATATAAAAAAGTTGAGGCTTTTTTCTTTTCGTATAAAAAAGGATGACGATTTTCTTAATCATTAGAAGCATATCTATCTACTGAAGGCAGGGGAGAATTAGTTTTCGCCACAATCGATTATCATTGGGAAATCTGCTTTGAGATATCTGCAAAAGCAGATCAACAATAATGAAACTGATCACATTTCGAAGCCATTTCGCCTGGAACTACTGACCTTTTTTGTTTATTCTAGAACATGAATTCAGCATTAATCTCAAGTGACCAAGCATTTATTGAAGATAGTATTTAGTTCTAGTGAAGATACCATTTAATTGACTTTCAATTTCTGTGAGATTTCTGAACCCTTACACATCAGTGGGCAGAAGAAAGGTATCTCTTCTCTGTCCTTGTTTCTTTTTGATGCTTGCTTTAGGTTATAAGGTTGCGCATTCATATATCAAAAAATTAATTTACTTCTCACCAATTAGCTTGACGGTAGGTTGGAGCTGTTTCAAAAACTGGTCTTAATTGATTATTTTGCAGCTTTTCCATAAAATAAAATTACTGAATGTTCCATTTACAATGTGCTTAAACTTTTGCAGGAGTCACAGTAAAGCATTTCACACGACCAATTCAATATAACTGAGAAAAATGAATCCGGAAAAGTGGAATGTATGTAGGGAAAATGATGAAGAAATATACTGGTGGCCACTGGGATTTCATCCACTGTCCTTCAGTGAAGGATAGTGCAATTTGGAGTGCTGGTTCTATGAATATGTACAATGGCAAATGGAGATATTGCGGCCGGAACGCAGAAAAAATACCAAGTCATAGAAGTTGAGTCAAGTTAGCAGTACGCTGAAAACTGTATTGTAGTAATGGTGTTGCATAAACAATACACAATACAGCGACTAAATATTTATTAATCAAAATCAAATGGGAAAAAAAGTGGGCGGTACATTCCAGAACGATGAGGAGATTGTGCATGTTCATTTCGGTGGATTTTATTCCTGTTGTTCAAATAAATGATTCGTTTGGGTACTTTAAACATGCTGCAAATGCATTATCCCTTTGCTGGATAACAATTAAATTACTACTGTTTTATGCAAAACATTCTCCCGGTGTATTTGACTTTCGAAAATTCGAAAATTCAAAAAATTCAGATCCTTCAAAGTGGTAAGAAAATTGACCAACCTCTTGGAGACCGTTGTGTAGATGTGAGACAGTCGAATGTTTATGCGGTATGCCCACTTCATCAAGGTGTTTTCTCGTTAGGTAACCCCTGAAAGAACTTAAAAAACTTTCCTTGAGTACAGGGTATGCTTTTTCCAGTAGACAATGAAATTCATTGTTATAGATATAGTCGAAATTGGGCAGTCAAACTGCTCAAAAAGAAATAGCACTTGAATAACATCAAGCATGCCAACTATCCTAGTTCCATATTTTTGCACAGTTTGGGATGTGAAGAACGGAATACCATGAAATATTTCAGTAGTACTTATATTAAAGTTTGCTCACACCTGGTTCAAGTAATTATCAGCAAGCGATTTTGAAAGATTGCCTGGATGGATAGTACCAAATGGGCTGTAAAAGTACTTGGCCATACACTCTTCAAGTAACATCAAATTTCACCTTGCACTATACAGATCTGTGACTATAAAAATTTTCGGATAAACTGAATAGTATGATAAACAAACGCATTGATGACCTAATATGCGCCTGTATTTTTTTGGCAGCTTCATTTCCTTCTTTCCTTTCTTGTTGCAAATGTCGCCGTGTAAGGAACCCCCGAATTTCGGCCTGGATTATGGTTGCTGCTCGATCCTCAATTACATCTCTGTGTACCACAGAACCAGTAACATTGATAGAATGGCACCTAGGCAAACGGGTATTTAGAATATTTCTATAAACATGTTTCACTTCATTAAAAATTCCGTTATATTTTTAGACATTCAGCTATCAATCTAACAAGCAAATCTGAATATATTAAATATTTGTCATTCTTCATTAATTTACCCATCACAAGTTTATTGGTTCTCGACATAATTTTGCAAAAATCGATAGTATTCGAATACATTTTTCGAATCTTTCCATGTGTACATCCCTCCCTTTTCCTCTTCCATGATTCCAGTATTTCTTAAGCAAAGTGCTGGTTGAGGAAAACGGCATGAAAATTTACAAAACCTGTCTGGATACCGTTAACGAATCGAAACCAACTTTAAATCTTTTTCCGTATCTAGTAAACTGGTGCAATCTGTAGATGGACAACTGGTACCAGTTCCCTTTTTGTTGAGACCAAATTTTTGTGGATTGGCTCGAACCTAAACGGAAGAAATGCTGGGAGAAAAATAATGAAACCAAACAGATGTAATATTAAATTTTTATGGATATGAAACTAATCAATTAAAATTAACTTATTGGTAGTACTTACAATATGTCCACGGTATACAGCTTGGATTTTCGTAGCTGCTTCATCCAAAAACCCTAGCGATTCTTCAGTCATTTTATCCTTTCCGTGATACTGAATTTCATTCCATTTTATTCCGCCAAGAAGAAATCCAATAAGTTTTAAATTTTAAACCATATTCCAAATCAAAAATTTCTTTTCCTCTTATTTAAAAACATGATAACAACTGATATCGGCTAATAGACGACCATGAAAAAAAAAAACCTATGCAAACCTGTTTCTGCAGGTCAATTTTAAACGACTCGTATAAAACAGGATCCGTTAACACATCTTCTGCATTATTCTCTGCAAACAAATCTGCTCAATTTGATGTCGCCATGGTCAAGTAGTTTTCTTTATTTACTAGCTCAAAAGGCTATCATGTTCCCAATCAGCCTTTTCTCTCAGTGATGACTATATTTCCATTGCGAAAATTCTGAACTCATCGATTACTTTTTGATGATGAACCAATGATACAGTTTAGGTGTTAATATGTTTTACTCTGCCTATTCTACTGGTCAGGAAAGGGGCTACCGATGAAGAAAGTCAAACTCACATACAGCAAATAAGCTGAATGATTAAACCATACGTGATTTAAGTAAACGAAAAAATGCATGACTGGAAATCTGACCGCCGGATCCGAAAAACTGAGAAATTCTTAGTTATGTGACGAATTTAATGCATAAATATCTTTAAACTACTTTCATGTTCAGATCAGTGACACCTTTTGTCACATGATTCAAAAGAAATGCCATTTTGTAACAACTTTCAGAATGCAGTAATTTTTGGCTATGTAGTACTGAAACATATTTGTTTATATTTCGAAAGAATTTGAAAAATTTCAAAACCTACGTTTACGATGTTTTTGTAACACATTGAAAAACAGAATCGAAAAATTGATTAGATCAACTGGCTGCGTTCTCAGCGTTTCCCGCACCAACGCTTCCAATAATGGACGCAGCCCAGTTGGTACTTTGCAATTTTCACTTGATGATTCTGCCATATGATTTTCTGTAATCGAAGGCACATGACAACCGGAAAATTAACTATTACGAAAAATAAGTACACGAAATGTTAGACTAATTAATGCCGTATTTTTGACTAAAGACAAAGTCAAGTCAGAAAACCAAATACCAGATAAGAATGATATAATGAAGTACTATTTTGAAAATGAAATAGCCTAAGTAAATATCCCTTTAGCCTGATGATAATATAGATAGGATAGCAGATGGGCATAACTGAAACGATTGCAAAGCAATTTAATTCAAATACGATTCATTTGTCAGAATCAGAAATTTAAGAATTGTAAGAACCTGAATGTTACTAACTTACGCGAGACAAGCAAGGAGACCCTAACAGATCTCAAATTATCTAGAATGATTTTAAGGAAATTCAGATCAAAGATTGAAGTTATGTCAAGAAATAATAAACTTGAATTAAAAAAGAACAAATGCAAATTTATTGTTAAACCAATTAAAAGTAATACTAATTGGTAGTATGTGTTTTTACAAGAAAAAAAAAGACTGCGTAAATATTATATGTTTTTGTCTTTTTGTTCGTTTAAATATTCCGTCTTCGCCAAGTTTATTCAGCCGAAGGATTTAAATGCACACAGACTAACCATAAAGCCCTTGAAAGAGGCATACTATGCTAACTTGGACTTCAAGTTGAGGGTGAAGTAAATCATTCTGATACGAAGCATTCAATCTTTTAGATTAATTTCCAGCTGAGATTATATAGACAAATTAATTTTAAAATATCAGTGATTAAGTGCTTCTAATATAAGAAGGCACGGAAGAATAGCAGTTGTGAGGGAAAAGATCAAATGGGAAAAATTGACTATACAATGAGGAGATATCCCATATCATTTCAATCCTTCGTCTTTTGAATCCATAATGACTTTGTGTATACTTAAGCCCTCTGTACGCATTAACTTTACATAATTAATTAATTAATCGAAAAAGAGAGAAACTACTTGCTCTGGTTGATTATCTCGGGTTATAAGGTAAACACAACAATTCTTGTACAAATAATCCAAAAAGTTCGCACTTTTTTTGAGTATAAAGGCTTTTTTTCTTCTGGATTTTGGCAGTAAAAAGTTTAAAGAGTAACAAAATTCCAAATAAAATAATTTCTATAGCCGTTCTTTTCTTGGTGACGGATTATATTACATAGGGCTGTAAATGGATCCACTAGGAAAAGTTTACGATTTTTCCAATTGCTTCATATTGTCAAACACTTCCATCTAATCCACTCCCTTGTTAAACTGCCAGACATCTCATCTTAGCGGTGGATGGCGTTGTCTTCTCGATTTGCTTAAAGCTTCGCTCTGTCTCGACACATTTGTTTGAAGTGGCCACTTTTATATCACAGTGGAATACTCACGTCAAATTGTGTGGAAGTATTTTTGCCCTCCGTAATACCCAATACCCTTCTTTCACAGATCTGCAATGTTAAAGAAAGAAGAGCGGAACATAGATGACAAACCTTCAAAAAAGGCGGCAAAGATAAAACAGTGAAAACCACTGATATCACCAAAAATGCATTAATCGTTTGATCCAAATGATCTCACACAATTAAATAAGTGTAATACTAATCTATGAGAAATTTAATGGATATTTCTTTATTTTACTCTGCAAAAATAGTGTATCAAAACTGTTGCAAAAATTTACGGATGAAACCCAAAGATTTGTAAGTTCCAGATTTGAAATTTGATTTGGATATTATTAACTGTTAAAATCAGATTGAAAACTAAAAGTTGGAAAAGACATTAATACCACCGGTGTTCCGAATAACGGCCAGTCGAAACTACGACAAAAGCAACAGTGGCGGAGATGACAATGATAGAGCTGAGTGCTTGGAATAGCTGTCAAATGAAAAATGTGCTGAATGCACGGATAGACAAATAGACAGATGCGCATTGCAGCATCACATATCTATCTATCTGTTGAGGAGAACGGATGGATGCTAGGTTGGAATTTTCGTTGATAGACAAGTGGAACACATGTCGATAGCAACTGAAGGAAACAGAAGATGCAGTCAAAGTTCAATTAGCACGAAATATGTTTCAAAACGAGCTAAGTAGTTCCATTATGCATCATCAGGTGAGTGCGGGAAGGATGGGAGAGGCCTGACAAAGAACGAGTTACAAAAATAATTATCCACAATGTGCCTATTTTGCTTAAACCTTTTCAGTGTCAACTGAACATTAATTATCACTAATAAAGGTCTTACCTCTTCATTGATAAATTGATAGTGCGTAATGAAAAAATTATTCACATTTGAGGCCAAAAAAAAACCTTCCAGTATCTGAATAGTGAACTACAAGTTACTGAAATGTGAAATGAGACCAAATATTTACAATTATATTATTCTTTGTTAATCAGTTGTCGATATCCTTTCAGCTTATTGTAATCAGCACCGTTTTCTTCATTTCTCCACTAAGTAAATGAATCTTCCTATTTTGAGTATAGAAGTACCAGAGATTCAAAAATATGCCAGTTGTGAGGATTACATTTTTTCAGGATCATTTTTCAGGATTTTTCAGGATCATAAAACGGAGACGAGACTTCCTGCTCATCTTATATTTTTTTCTCAATATTTTATCACTGCCACGCACAAATCAACCAGATAAATTTACTTACAGAGTCCTTTCAGAGTTATACCATTCCAAAAGGTTATAGTCGCATTCTCTTTCTCCAACACTTCCATCAGAATTCCCAATAGTAAATACGATTGAAGTGATGTAGAAAAAAAGTAGAAAATTCACAATTAAGTTGCTGTTAACCAATATATGGTGTTTTTTCTTCCTTTTTTTTTTTTCAAGTTATAAATCGCTTTTCAATGAGCGACGAAAGGAAGTTGCAATTTTTTGCTTTTGAAAGGAAAAAGTGGAAAATGGAACGGGATGTTAGTAAATAAGGAAATAAAATCAAGCGAAAACCGGGAAAGACGCAAAATGGCAAATGTCGCAAAATCTTCAATTGCTATTACTCATTCCAAATTGATCATATGTTTGCTGTTTATGAGTTGTAGAATGTCGTTTTCTGGTACCACCTGAATTCATCCCGCGAACTTTTAATGAGGCGTGCATTTGTGAATAAGACAATATTTGCACAGTTTGGTATGCAGTAAAGTTTACGTCACCAATAACATTGCCCCATTTATAGGTCGGATTGATTTTCATTTGATTTTGAGGTGTTATTTAACGTTTTGATATCAAAAGACGTTTTAGCACACAGTGTGACTTATGCACTAATTAATTACTCATTTTATCTTATTCATGGTTTAGAGTTACGATAAGTACCCACTTTGCACTTAATGGTAATTAAACATACTTGAAGTTTACTATATTAAAAGGTGTTCAAATGCTTAAATTGTGTAAGTACAGATTAGCTTAGTCGATCGGTAAGTTTTTATTCATTCCTATAACA